CTTTTCTCGCTGAGTAAATAGAGAGTTTTAAGAAACTAGAAAAATTTCTGTGAGAACGGAAGTCCTGTATATTTTTAGAAATCTTGTACTTTCTCTAAGGTCGCTATTTATGATGATTTAAGGATAAGATATCACTATTTATCCAAGGTTTTAACGAAGTTGATAGCTTCTAAGTTAATTTTGACATTGTTGTAGTTGACCACCTTGTATAAAACGTACGTCTTACTGTTTACACTTTCAATATAAACTTGGATCTCGGCTATTATTACTGAATAGTCGGAAATGCCTATTGGGGGAAGATGATGAGGTTCTGTTATAAGTTGTTGATCATTTGTGATGATAAGATCTAGAATAGACGATTGGTTATTAACTAGAAACCATTCAGGTTGGTTTATCTATTAATTGAAAGAAATTGGAGTCAGCAAAGAATTGCATAAAATTACTTGTTGAAGTGTCCAAGTCTGGAATAAGAGTTATGGGCCAACAAATATCGGTAAAATTAAAATCTCCAACTGCAACTGCATTTTGAAGAGTTGAGAGGTTGTTAAGTTTATCAATTAATAGCTTCGTTGAATCTTCACAGAAATCACCAGGTCTATAAATAAAGTGCGAATTCTCCTAGTTTTAAATAAACTTTAATAATCGCTGCTAAAAATTCAAAACGAAAGGAAATTAGAAATATTAACAAACTTTTAGGTCATAGTTTTATTATTAAACTAACAATAAGAGGTCTCAGTTCTTTGCATAAACTACATAAGATACTACATAAGGGGTTACATAACATACTACATAAGGTACTACATAAGATACTACACAAGATACTACACCAGATACTACACAAGATACTACATAATATACATATAATTCACTACGTAATATTGTTTAATATTCTACGTTGCTTATATTTGTTTAATATGTAAATTTGGCACCGACGGCAACCCTGTTACACGTGCCACTGAGACTAACAAGTCCGTTGAAATGCAGCAAACATATATTATGTTGTTGTCAACTCATGTAGAATACCATTACAAAAAATTACACAATGATCTTTTATTGCCTACCAGAAAACTTCTAATATATTAAATTGGTCCTTCGAGCCGGATAGGTAATAACTTTAATCAATTATAAAACAATTAGTATTATAAGAAACAATTTGAAGCAAGTGACCACGCAGGGTTGTCAGCCAATAAAAAAGGGTACAACAAAGAAACGACAATTCGCCGGCCACTCATCTGGGCGACTTTTAACAATCGTCATCGACTGGAATGTAGAAATCATAATATACACACGAAACAAGCATACAGCAACAGAAAAGGTGTCCCAAGTTTATTTACTATTTTTTTCCAAAGAAATTGCGATTTTTTTAGTTTGAACAATTATTATTTATTTGTTATTTGCATAACTATTTTACTAATTACAATTAACAATGGGAGAAACTATAAAACAATTAATAAGAAACAAAGGTTTCATTAAAAAACGACTTACATCAATTAAAAAATATATAAATTCTTTAAAAGACGGTTCAATTTCTCCAGAATTAAATGACGTACAATTACGATATGACAACAGTATTAGCATATTAAGCGAATTGGAAAACATACAAACGTTTATTGAGCATATATTACAATTAGGTATTTATTTCTTAAAGTCTTTAATAATAGGCATAATGGAAGCTTGTCTGGCTAATGAGATGCATTGCATGAAAAATAGTAATTTACAAGACGGATTAGCTTTTTTAGTAAATTTCTCCAACATCAAGACAAAAAAACACAAAAATTTTTGAATTACCCATAATTTTTAAAAAATATGTAAAAAATACATCAGTGGTCGTCCAACACTACTATTTTTAAACGTAGGTAAGTTTAAGCGACAATGGGTGCAAATATTTTTACATGAACAGATCTAAGGGAGAAAAGGGATCATATAATTTTATATAAACATATTTAAAAGGGACCAAATATCTTTAGATAAATATGCGAAGTAAGGAGCCCAAATATTTTGCACAAGCAGGCTTAAGAGATAAAGGACACATTTATTATTGGATAAATTGCTTGAACAAGTTTGTAAACCCTAATCAATAGGCGATATAGAATGGTTTTAAAAATTAAAACGTCTTATTACTACTATCGGATTTCGGTCTTTCGTTCCAAGTTAAATCATTTCTCGTTTTTTTACGCTACGTGTTTACCCTTCTGGGCCTCAGTCTCGATTTTAGCGTCTCTCGAATTTAAATATATATTTCTTTGGTTTTGTAAAAGATGGTCTATTTAAAAATTATTATTACTTGCTAATTTTCAGCACGTTTTTGGGACATCCTATATACATACTTATCGGCAGAACTGTAGAGAAATTAAGAGACTTGGTTTTTTTAACGCAAAACGACGCAATTAAAATAATCCGGAATAAAACTTTTCCCAAACGAAATGAGAGAAAAAAAAACGCGAATCACTCCAGAAAATCCGAAGATCCTTCTAATACTTTCCACTCAAACTAGGTTCATAAATAGTATTTCCCAGACAGTTTTCACGAAAACACTTTTAAGTACGGTTTCGAGTACGGCTTAGGCCAACCGACCTGCATAATGTGATTTTTGCTTTGGCTGTAAATTACCTTTATGTTTTGTTGAAAGTTTTCTACCGCACATAAATCAACATTTAGTGAAACCGCATGCGGGAAAGAGACCGCCTTAAAAGATAACGAATTCTCAAAGTGATTCATTTCCATAAAATTAGATGGATCAGTAGCGGAGTACGCCGATAATGTAAAAGTATCCTCCTACCGAATATGTGTCATGGAAAACTCTACTGTAGAAACTAACTTAGGGCCCCTCTCAGTTATCTCATGTAGGTGGTTCTACTACCAAAATCAATAGGTCTAAACTAATTTAAAATCTTTCTCTATTTGCTTCTTGTCTTTTGCCTCTTCTGTTCTAATTTATCACCTACTTTCTATGCCTAAGCTCCTTGAGGTGAGATTTACGTGATCCAAGGTTGGGTATCAGCTGAGCTACAGTGAAGAGAGGGTGAGTCATAGCAAAAGTTGTGTGTTTTATTGGGCGCCAGGAGTTTGCATACATCCAACTATCCTAAATAAGGTTCGCGATAAAACTCCATATAGCCAATCTAAGTCTATCTCTACAATGATCCTCTCAAACGGCTATAAATTGAGGTTTTCCTACTTAAATACATTACCCCCTTACCTTAACCCTTGTAAACCTATGGTCTAAATTAAATGTGCAATAGAAAATTAGGATATGATTAAATAACACAAAGTTATCAATTTTTACCCAAAATTTAAAGTATATGCAATTTATGCAGAGCCGTATAATAAATTTTCACGAACAACATGAATTCGTTAAAGTGAAGGTAAATTCTGCAGAGCTGAATACTAAAAATTTACAAGATTACCTCACACAATGTGAAAATCAATTATGCCGATCAAATTACTCATTATTTACAAATATTCCCTAAATTCTAATATAAATGTAAATGTAAATTGTGCAAGTTAAAACATAAAATATACAATGTTAATGTAGAACTAAATTACCTACCTAGTTTTAAATGTTTTAAGGTCAATTTCTTTATCTGCTAATAACTATTCACTAATAGAAGAACCGGAAGGTACGATTCATATCTACACCTACGGTTCTAAAACAAAATAAGACTCAAGATGTGGAATATACTCCAGATTTTTAAACCTAAACATGGGCTGTGAGCAATGGTGCCAGTGTAGTTTAAACAGATCTAACGGGTATTCTTATAGCAGCAAAAGAAATTACCAAAAACAATATCACTGAAAGGAACAAGCACTACTCACCCTGAACAGACCACGAATTTACTCAGGGTTAGTATTAAAATGTAACAAAGCTTTGGGTAAAAGATCCATCAACAATGTGGTCACCGTCTTGCTAATTCACTAGCCAAAAATGCAGCAAAACAAATACTTTTTGGACCTGGCCCTTCTATTGGCCTGACAAAATCGGTAGTGACAGACCTTATTAAAGAACATTCCCTTGTGAAATTCAAGAGAAGATGGGATAAAACAAGAAGCTGCAGACTTGGCAGGGAGCTCTTAAGTTATCCTGACAACACTGCAGCAAACAAATACTTGACTATAACTTGACAGAATCTTCGCCTAGTCACAGGAATTCTGACTGGTCATCGCCAAGTACGGAAGCATCTCCATGTGATGGGGCTGTTATAATCTGTATTCTGCAGAGGGTGTGAACAAGAAGATAAATTTATCGAGCATATCCTTAACGATTGCTCAGAACTCTCATTTATTAGAAGATTTGTGTTTGCCGAGTATCGGCTAACACCTTTCGATATAAGAGAAACACTTCTTGGCGACGTTGTCAACTACATTAAATCTGTAAGCTGGCTCACGAGCTTATCATCTTATGAGAATGCACAATGAGCCTAGTGAGGCATAAGTGTCGTGGCGGTAACACACCCTCCTTAAGTTACAGATACAGAAATATTCACTACCTATCATAAGGCTAAATATATACATCTAGGTATGGTACCCAAAATAGTTATATACAAATAAGCGACCTACCTGAAAGGAAATAAGAAAAGCATCCAGTGCCCCCAAGTACTCCTCAGAATCTCTAAGTACAGAAGAAACAGAACGTGCTGATCAACAATTATTGGGGAAAGAAGAAAGAAATAAAAACAAAAAACTTCATTACTAACGTTAAACTAGATCAAAAACCAGATAGTACTCCAAAGCCAAATCCTGCGAAACTCAATCTTGCAAATAAGTTAAGCAACAATCGAAATAATAAAAACAGAAACCTTCGTTCAGGATTGACATCTTCACAGAATTCAAGATCTTCAAAGAAGCAAGAAAATCAATTATTTACAAAATATTATTTTTTTTAATCAACAATTTTAGCAATAAGATCAGTGAAAAATATCGTTTTTAAGATTTTTACTAGGTTTTTGCATTATTCTAACCTAAAAATACATGCCTATATTGAAGCATATTTTTTGTTTTAGCGAGTTGCAGTACTAAAAAAGATGCATGTAGTGATAGTGGTAGTGAAGAAGATCCATATGCTACTGACGCAGATAGTGACTACAATCCTGAGGAATTAAATGATTCACAGAGAGATTTGAGTACTGACGATGAAGTCGTACCAGATGAGGTGTTTTATTACGAAATAGAAAATAATGATGCACATATCCCAGTTTATTATAGTACTCCTAGAAGGACAGGAAAGTGCAAGGTGGAAACGAAAGTGTGGGAAAAAGTAAAAAAGAAAAACATTACGTGGTAAATGGAAAAAATATACAAATACTCGTGAAAAACTCGTACCAGCTCGCAGGTTACGTAAGTATCACCATACTTGCAGATATCACTGTAACAAAATTACTGAAGACGAACGAAAAAATGTGTTTAAAAACTTCTATGAACTACCAAACTACGATTTACAAAGCAATTTCATTGGAAGCTGTATCTCTAAAAAAGCGTCAACACGCAGAAAGCAAGGAGCAGTTACGACTATAAGCTTTGTGACTAAGATAACTCTTTGTAATTATTGAGTGTGCAAAGAATTTTTTCTAAAAACATTAAAAATTTCAAATAGACGATTTGCAACTGTTTCAAATAAAATTTCACAAGAAAGTTTTGTCGAACTGGATAAACGTGGCAAACATCCACCTGGAAATAAACTTCCAATCGAAAAGAAAAATGAAGTTGTGGCTTACATTAATCAGTTCCCTAAGTACAAGAGTCAATATTCGAGAGCTCAAAACGAGAACACGAGATATTTGTCGGAGACACTCAATATTTCTGTACTGTACAGACTATATTGTACGAAAGCTTCCTGGGGCCACTTTTTTTATAAAAAAAAAATATTATTATCTCGCAATTGTGACTTATTATCTCACAATTGCGACATATTATCTCGCAATTGTGAGTTATTATCACGCAATTGTTACTTATTATCACGCAATTGTGACTTATTATCACGCAATTGTGACTTACTATCTCGCAATTGCGACTTATTATTACGCAATTGTAACTTATTATCACGCAATTGTGACTTACTATCTCGCAATTGCGACTTATTATCTCGCAATTGCGACTTATTATCACGCAATTGTGACTTATTATCACGCAATTGTGACTTACTATCTCGCAATTGCGACTTATTATCACGCAATTGTGACTTATTATCACGCAATTGTGACTTACTATCTCGCAATTGCAACTTATTATCTCGCAATTGCGACTTATTATCACGCAATTGTGACTTACTATCTCGCAATTGCGACTTATTATCACGCAATTGTAACTTATTATCACGCAATTGTGGCTTAATATCTCGCAATTTTAGAAACATACATGACATTTTGTGTCTAATACACTTACAAAAGAAATGATAAATACAATTGAATATTTGAACGAGTATCTACCAAAATGTAACGACCATATTTAATTCTATTTTAAATGCCAACTTTTGCAATGTTGAAATTGCTTAGTTTCTGAATGTAATAATACAAAATTATGTTTTATTTTGGCGAAGGAAAAATTCTTTTAATTGTTCTTTTCTCTTTAATGTGATGTTTCTATTTTTGTATATTTTATAATTTGGTGTATGTACTACTAAAATCAGTATTTTTTTACCATTTATTTTTGTATGACAGGAGATTAAAAATACTGAGATTAAAACTACTATACTTCGGTAGGATCAATTATTTCTTCAACAGTAACCAATCTCCTTAATCAACCAAATTAAAAATACTACAGTTTGAGGCGTACCTACGTGTCATTGCCAGTATTTCTCGTTGGTATCTTATGTTTCTATTTGTCCTAAAAATGCATTATTCACAAATATTTATTTTATTTTACCATTTAAGACTGTTTTCTATTTTTTTTTTGAGTGATAACTTGTCACGGTTTCAATACTAGTATTTTATTAAGTTATCTGTTTCACTTTTTAATAAACTATTTGCATTGAATGTTGATATGTATTTAAATGTTATTTCAAATCGTACATTTCTGTGTACATAGATGTGGTTGACTGTATAACAGCAGTGCTTCACAGTGAACCAAGTTGCATTTTGTTTAAATTGCTATGATTTCAACAATTTTGTTTTTACAACTATAGTGGTCATTACAAATGAAATAATATAAGATATTCTTTATTTATATACGACATATTTTCATAAATGTAACTTCAATAGGAAATATACAACAGTAATCAAAAATTTAGATGGTTTTCTTTTGAACAACTGCCTACATAATGTTTGTTTTTTATAAATTTTAAAAATACCTAGGTAAGTTAAAAAATTAACATTAAAAAAAACCAAAGTGGTTATGTGTATTACTTTATTGCATATTAATATTTAAACAAGTTGGATAAAATTGTTCCTAAATTTTGTTTTTGATCCCCACTTAAGAGTCCTGGCTAAATTATGTTAAATTTATTAAGTAGGTTATAATATTTCAATAACAATTATGTAAATAATAAATATAAAAATTCTGCCTTTATATTCATTTCTTTCACTTCATTATATTAATTATGATATCTCTTAAATTGACATATAAATCTACAAGGCTGTATCGATCATCACCAAACATAAAATTATTTTCATTCATTAAAAAAGTGCATAATTCAAAGAGATCATTATCGCATATAGTTTCTGGAAACGTTGCTTCATTTTTGCAGGCTTCAAAATCGATGATGTTAACTGGACACAGGAAGTCCTTTATGTTAAATGTCTGGAGGTTTTCGAACATTACAACTGGCCTTCCATTTTGACAAAAATTTTGTCTACTTCTGGTTATACGGTGACAATTCCACTACCTCACAATGGTGTTTAACTCCTGTAATAAAAATGTATTAAATTAATTTAGTTGGATTTATCTTTATTTTCCATAAAAAGTGAGGCACAAAAACGGCGCCTTCTATTATTCATGTTTAAGAAAAAAAAAAAATTTATATAAAAGTTGGTGTTTCGCTTAAACCTCCATATTACCTCAATTAGAACGTAAGAAGCAAAGACAAAGTAATAAATGAGTTAATACCATTATTGGGTTCTATGCGAAGTATGAACTAGTGTTCCTTTTTACCCACCTGCAATTATTTTTGGATCATTCGTATTCGAAGATGCTTTCAACCAAATGATAAACCTCGAGTATCCATCAATAGCGCCATTTATTCATATACCATATGGTTTTAGTTTATCATATGAGTCAAGATGCCATAAAAAATTGGGACCAGTATTATTATATTGCCTTCTATGCAGTTTTCGTCTTGTTCTTAGTTCTACTCCAGGAGGATCTAAGTTTTGTAATATTAAACGAACCATATTCTGCAAAACAGAGAAACCATTTTGAATGCATTTCAAATGCATCCATCTATAGCCATGGAGTTGGGAAGAATTTTGTAACTGATGGTCTATAAAATTTACTAAAATATCAGCTCCACTGAAATATTTTTTTTTAAACAACTTGTTTTTGTTTAAAATCCTCTTTAGTTGTCGTTTTGATATATTTGTTGAAAATCTCTCTTTCAGTATGTTTCGAATTTCACTATAATTACATCCATTTAAAAAAATAATGCATAATAAGATTATTTCTTGATCTTGAATCCATCGTCTATTGTTGCAAATATCTTAAAAGATGGTTAAAATTGTAAAACAACTTAATGAGTTATACATATGTTTAAAAACTCAAAACTCACCTGAAAACAAGCTCGAGAATGGAGAATCACTTCACTGTTATTTCACGAAACATTGACCAAAGCTCACCATTTTAAGCAGACATGTAACGGCAAAATAACTCACAATTGCGTGATAATAAGTCACAATTGCGTGATAATAAGTCACAATTGCGTGATAATAAGTCGCAATTGCGAGATAGTAACTCACAATTGCGTGATAATAAGTCACAATTGCGTGATAATAAGTCACAATTGCGTGATAATAAGTCGCAATTGCGAGATAGTAACTCACAATTGCGTGATAATAAGTCGCAATTGCGAGATAGTAAGTCGCAATTGCGAGATAATAAGTCACAATTGCGTGATAATAAGTCACAATTACGTGATAATAAGTCACAATTGCGAGATAGTAAGTCACAATTGCGTGATAATAAGTAACAATTGCGTGATAGTAACTCACAATTGCGTGATAATAAGTCGCAATTGCGTGATAATAAGTCGCAATTGCGTGATAATAAGTCACAATTGCGTGATAATAAGTCGCAATTGCGAGATAGTAAGTAACAATTACGTGATAATAACTCACAATTGCGAGATAATATGTCGCAATTGTGAGATAATAAGTCACAATTGCGAGATAATAATATTTTTTTTTATAAAAAAAGTGGCCCCAGGAAGCTTTCGTAATATTGCGAATGGTGTACCGAAAGAGAAATAACTCCGGTAAAAGGATTTTACTACAGACATGTCTTTTGTACCGAATTTAATTTAAAATTTCATAAACCGCATACTGACACCTGTAATACCTGTGACCGCTTAAACAACCAAATAATAAGACTCTATAAACAGAATTAGAAGTTCATCATCGAAAAGCAGAAAATGTGGCTAGAAGTAAAGAAAAAGACATCAGCTACGCTAAACAAAACACAAACTACCGCGTTTTATGTTTCGATTTACAACAAACACTTCCTACTCCCCTGCTCCAAACAAATAAAATTTATTACCTTAGGCAGTTGTGGACCTACAATCTATGCATTTATGATTGTACTTCAAAAATATCTAATATGTATGTCTGGAATGAGAAGACAGCCTCTCGTGGTTCAAGAGAAGTAGCTTCATGTTTGTATAAATTTATTGAATCTCTTCCAGAAACAGTTAATCACATAATATTTTACAGTGACTCTTGTGGGTGTCAGAATAAAAATAAAAATTTAATTAAGCTTTTCATGTACCTAGTACAAAAGAATAAGAAAATAGAGACAATAGAACATACATTTTTCGTGTCAGGACATTCGTACACTAAATGTGAAAGATCGTTTGGCTTAATAGATTTAAAAAAGAAACATATTTCTCATGTATTCGTTCCCAGTAACTGGAGTCAGATTATTAAAGAAACGTCCAAAAATTTCAATGTTTGTGATATGGATAGGGAGTCATTTATCTCTTTCCAGTTTCTCAACAAATCTATGAAAGATCCCAAATTTACCGATCAAGACATAGCAACTGCTATACAAGAAGACTAACAAATTTTGTAAGCATCAAGAACTTCAAAAAAAGCATCAAAGAAAAAACTTTTGAACCCCTAAAACTGCGACCAGTTGTATGGTTTCGGTATGACAAGGAACATTTTTTAAATTTTGCCTTTAAAGAAACTTTGAATGCTGAATTTCTTTTTTCTCGCTCCGAGAAATGTGCAGAGGTCGGTATAACAAGGGCCACCATTATAGGCGGTGAAATAAAGACTAATGACACTACTCCAGTGCAAAAAGTTACTTTTGCTAAATTGAATGACTTGAAACAGTTACTACCATTTATACCACCTATCCACCATGACTTCTACAGAATTATTCCTCATCTGGAGAAGAACCAATTAAAAAAGACTGCTTCTGACGATCCTGATGACATCGCCCATATTAGTGACATAATTGAGAGTGATCGAGAATGAATTTTGATATTATTTTAATAGTTTCTTTATAACATTTTTTTTTGTAACTTGCAAATAAAGCGGTACCAGATATTTTCTTATACTCGTAATCATTAATAAGCAAAAGGGTATAAGTGATTTTTTGAAGATTTTTTGATAAGCAAAAGGGTACAAGTGATTTTTTGGATAATGCTAGTAACTAATTAATGTGACATATTAATCATAAATCGTATAACATTTATTACGAGTAATCTATCCAAAATCAATAAAAGTTGACTGTGCCAATATTTCACAATTATCAAAATACTTTAAAGTGGAATATCTGGAAATCACCTTCATGTCACTTATATCGTTATGGTTCTAACCCCTTCATATAGACAAAAACTTAAAGTGTAAATTTTTAGTTGGCCAGGGTGTGGAAAGTTGCCTTTTAGTCCTTGGAAAACACCAGTAAAAAAAAATTAAAAATTGTAACGGCTTCCGTTCCTTTTTTATAAAAAAAAAAATCAAAAAAGATGTAAGATAATACGTAATAGGCAAAAATTTAAAATTTGTATTCTTAATTGTCCTAAGTGTGGAAAAGTTGTATTAAAAGTTGCCTTTTACTCCACCAAACATATCTGTGAAAAAAAAATAAGAAAAATTAAAATAAAAAATAGGGTTTTTTCTTTTAATAGTAAAATTTCAAAATCAAAAAGGAACCTTAATATAGTATTCTTTTAAACTGATTTTTTTGTGGATAAAAAGGGTCTATAAAGGCAACTATTCCACACCCAGGGATTGGCAAATTCGCAAATAAGTTTTTTCTTTCCACCCTAATATACAATCTTAATAAAACTTTGGATAACTTAAAAATTCATCTTAGTCAATTGACATTTATTTATGACTGCCTAATATTTCGAAAACCTTAAACATTTTAGATGTAAATTTATTTCAATTAGGAGGGTACACAATATTATATAAACAGAAACGATGGTGTTGTGGTTTTTATTAAAGATAATATAAGTTATACACAACAAATCATTTCTATAGGACCCAGCAAAGTTATACAATGGAATATAAAATTAAAAGATTATAAGCATTTATTGTTAATTGCCGTTTAAAAGCCTCGAATCAATCAGGATAAGTTTATTTAGCTTTTAGGAAATTACCTAGAAAAAACTACAAAACAAGCAAAAATTGATGATCATAAAATAATAGAAGATATAAATATAAGAAATGTAAATAATTCAGTGTCTAATTATTTAGACGTTTTAGCAGAAAATAATTTTATCTCACTCATTAACAAACATACAAGAATTTAAGGTAATTTTAAGAGTAGTATAAATCATACATTGTATTCTATTGAAAACTGTACTGTATTAACATTTGAAACAAGAATTACTGATCATAAAGCTACAATAGCCTTTCTCGCTTTAAAAGCAAAATATGGTAAAATCAATAAAAAAAAATAAAATAAAATAAAAAAAACTATAAAAATTTAAAACGTGAATTTAAAAAACACAACTGGACATCCTACCTCAATATTTTGGACATTATTAACAAATTATTAAATCTATGAAATACTATAAATAACTTATTAACTAAAAATACTTATTTAGTCAAAAAAAAAAAAAATATAATATAATACAAAGAAAAGAATGGATAACTACTGGTATATTATATTCAATTAAACATAGAAATAAGCTCCACAAAGAACATAGAAATAACCCAAATAATATTTTAAAAAAGATGTATATACAACATATAGAAAAAACTTGGACAAATTAATAAAAAAATCGAAAACAGAATATTATAGAAAACCAATTATAAATAATAAAAACTACTCAAAAAATTTATGGAAAGTTATAAATGACATAACTGAGAAAGAACAAGCTATGCATGTAATAATGAAATACTTGCAGAAACTGGAGAACTTAAAAATAATTACACAAAAATATCCAATTACTTTAATTGTTTTTTCACAGACATTGGAGAAAAATTAGCACTTGAAATCACATAACCAAAAAGGTATTATGCCCAAAATTTTCTGTCTCTGAAAAAGAAGTAAAGATAATTGTAAACTCTTTAAAAAATAAAAAACTCCAGGGAGAGATGGTATTCAAGCTGAAACAATTAAATATCTAATAGACGATATGGCGCCACTTCTTGTTGATCAAATTATTACAATTTTTAATTCAGGTAAGTGCCCAAACAGTTTTAAAAAATCAGTTGTTCTGCCTATTCACAAAAAGGGCAAAATAGAAATACTTAATAATCATCATGTCTATTATTATAGATTATAATTAACGTCGTGATGAAAATGCAAGATAGGCATCTTGACTACAGGACTGGTAATCTCGCTACACAAAAGTATTTTAGATACACCACTATGAAAAATTGCTCACGATAATCGGCCTCGAGTCATTTGACAGAAATGACACAAGTCAGGCATTCACCTGCTGAAAATTTAAATAGGACATATAATATTTACATTTATTTTTTTTTAACCATTGATATCATTTAATAAAATAGTCAAAACAGCCATTTGAAGAATTTAAAAGGGAAACATTATTAATTAATATTTCTGGCGGTGAAAATAAAGAACAAAGAAGATTAATTGTTTAAACCCAACTGACTTAAAAATAGTGAATATTTAAAGATTGAAAAACCGAGGTTAGTTTAAATATATATACGAGGATTCATATAAAAGTACAGCCGGACACAGTAAGTGCACCCCTATTTTAATTAATAAAAGCCCTTAAGTCAAATTTAAACGTTACAACTTTATTCGGCATCCTTGAGATCTTCTAATTCAAATTGTCAAATTCCCAAAGAACAATAAAACATTGCTAAAAAAAATTCCAAGTTAGAAAAAAGACAATAAATTTAAAAAATATGTACTACATCTTAGTCCAGTATGATTGGTCTTACAATTGATTGAATTAGAAAAACAATCGTTGAATTGCAAAAAAGCTGGCCCCCATTTTGACGAAAAATCATGATACAACGCGGCGCTGGCTTTTAAATTCCAAGAGTGATTCATTTCCATATAATTAAAAAGCAGCGCCAATACATGACCGGAGTCTTCTCTCAGAAAAGAAAAACGGCTCGAAACAAGCTTTTGTTGATGTAATGAGAAGGTTCGGTTCTTTTTTGCGGAAACCGTTTCCCGATAGGTAAAAGGAATCGTACCTTTTTTGGTCTAATAAATTATTTAAGTTTAAATGTATTCACGAAGGTCAGGTCGGGTATGAAACGAAGAAATTCCGGAGGTTTTACCGTACAGTTACATTTACACGTAGAAAATGTATTCTTGTTTATTTTTAGATTAATGTCTGGGAAATAGGGAAAATGTTTCATATTTTGTAGAAGTCATAAAATGTTGATATTGGCATTAGTTTTAGCAATCCCTGTATATTCATTATATATTATATAATATAGGTAATCTGTCTGTGGATCCAAGGGTCCCAGGTTCGAATCCCACCTTTGGCCGGAATTTTTTCATTTAATTTAATTATTTAAAATTAATTCTGATGCCTTGGTAGGATTCCCCACTCGACCATTCACTGTTAGGTTGACAAAGCATACACATAACACGAGTCGAAATAACCTTAGCAGTTGAAGCCGATGACACACACAAAAAAAATAGACTATCATTACTGGTGGTACCGATACCATACCTACATATTAGCGATTAATATTGTATCTATTAATTAACCGTTATCGATCAAGAATTCAGGTAGTAATGAATTAGACAGAAAATCTCTGTTTAACTTGCACCTACACACACGGTAACAGATACAAATTGTATTTAGTTCGGACAAACATTCTTTACTGAGATTTATCAAGCTTGTACCACTTTGCTTATACCAATAAATAATACTGTTTTGTTTCCCAAATAAATCCATTCGGTGTACACAGCACTCAAAGCTGTCCTGATGTTTACGCATCATTTTGAAACAATTATGTTTCACTGTGTGTGCGTACGTATGAATTATAGTGACAAAACGTGGATGGAGGAATAGTTTTATTATTAATAAATTGATTGAAAATCAATGACGAACCAATCTATTTTTTTCAATTTGTGTATCGTTCGAAAAATAAAAACAGTGTCTGCCTATTTATTTATGCAATTTGGGACATACGAATTTAATTATGCTTTTTTATTTTAATTTTCTTGTACGATTCTTCTGTTTTGGGTCCTTAGTAAGTAAACTAATTTTTTCAAAAATATAAACAGTATATTAAGTGTAATGCAACAATGTCATTATTTCTTCACAAATATTATTTTTATTTCATTTATTTATTTGTTTATTTATTTATTACAGAATGTGAAATTCCAAATAGTACATTGATGCACATCTGCAACATCCTGAATGTCTAAGTTTTACTCGTATCGTCCCGCGGTGTTGTCAGTCTTCCTTTTTTAATATTTTATATATATTTTTTAATTTATTTTGTTTTTAACTTCTTTAATTATTTGTGTTAGGTTAGATATACTGTACTATTTGGAATTTCACATTCTGTAAGTGCTATAGGATTGTAATTAAAATGTATCAAAACTAAACCTATTATGTGAACAAATAAAAACCAGTCTGTCAAAAATGGTCTGTTATTGTAAACGTCAAAAAATTTCCAGTATAATTCGCTGTTGGGTACCCCACGAGAAAAAAATTTTCACTAAAATACCTCCGTTGCCATGGTGATCTGTCAAAAACACGTATTTTGATTGGTTCAAAATTACAGGTGTGGAATTTTCATTGATATATAATTTATTACTTTTGTCAAATAAACATCAAATACAGAAAAGGATATATTTTTCCCTTTTTCAATATACAGTCCATTCGAAACTACAATTTAGGTTAAAAAACATTCATCCATAGTTTTAAGAAGTTTCCCAAAAAAGTACAATGTCTAAAGAAGAAAATGATTGCGAACTTCATGTTCAACACAATTTTTCGTGCAATCAACATGGCAGGTTCGTAGTAAGACTTCCATTCAAAGATAATGTAAATTATTTGTCACAATCAAAAGAAATG